AAGGCAGGAGAGAAGACCAGCTCTTCAGGCTTACACAGAAAATCATTGATGGATTTCAAAGAGGGGAACAGACAACGGCTGTGTTTGTGGATCTCCAACAAGCCTACGATAGAGTGTGGAGGAAAGGACTACTCTTAAAACTGCAGAACATGGGAATCAAGGGAAACATGTACTCCTGGATTAAATCATTCCTTACAGATAGACTTATCCAGACCCAGATGGATGAAACCCTATCTTCAAAAGCAGTACTGGAGGAAGGACTCCCACAGGGATCTTCTATCAGCTGTACCTTATTCCTTGTCTTCCTCAATGATGTTTCAGATGTTCTCAAAACAGAAAAAGCCCTTTTTGCTGATGACCTGGTCCTTTGGCACACTGGAAACTCGACAACAATAAGCAGGCGAAGACTACAAGATGATCTAAATTCCCTAGGAACCTATTGCCGTCTATGGAAGATGAAAGCAAATTGCGAAAAAACTGTCTACTCTGTTTTTACGAGAAGCTATAACCTTGCAAATGCAGAAATCCCTCTCAAAATAGATGGTACCAACTTGAAAAAGGAGAATAACCCTGTGTATCTTGGAGTACAATTTGACAGCAAGCTCAACCTGAAACAACACACCAACAACCTTAGGAAGAAGGCTATGAAGAGACTTAATCTCATCAAACGAGTAGCCAGTACCAACTGGGGATCAGACAAGAACACCTTGAGAGGCCTCTATTTAGGATATAAACCAGAGCTGTTTTTTATTATTTAAATCTTGTTCTACAAAACAATTTCAGTAAAACTACAAAGAACCCAATGGACACCATCCAAAACCAAGCTCTTCGCCTTATCTCTGGCGGAATGAGATCCTCACCGACTGCAGCCTGTGAAATCCACACAAATATTAGAACCATTAGAAACTCGAAGAAAACCGGCAGCTTTAGAAGTATATGAAAGATCTAAACGGCTATAAAATAACCACCCTAATAGAGTCCTTGTTGACAAGTGGAAACCTAATCAAAGACTAAAAAATACAAAATCTGTACTTGACACGGTTCTCAATCTCCAAGAAAAACATCACCTCCCTGAAAGACGAGAACTTCTGGAAAGAGTTCCCTCAACTCTCCCACCACATCTCACCATAGCAAAGCCAGAAATTAGGAAAACACTTTTGGACAAGAGCAATAAAAACACATATCCTGTAGCACTAAACCATTCTGCCCTTGAAACAATTGATTCCTATCCACCAACATAGATCCACTATACTCTGATGGATCTGCCTTTAAGGCAACAATCAACGCTGGATATTATGGGTCAGTGATCAACTTGCCCAGTGGGATAAAAAAAGAAGTCTTTAACTCCAGCGGGTCCTTCTGCTCCATTTTCATTGTCAAACAACAGGCTATCACCAACACAGCAAACTACATCAACTACTTGTTTGACACTATCTAACCCATTTGCTGCCACAGACATCGTATCTTTACAGACAGCCTTTCAACACTAGAGACACTTGAGAGTGGGACTGATGTGAACAAAGATATATTGCACTTGATTTGGAGTCTACATAATTTGATAAGAAGGCACCAAGTCAGAGTAGTCTCCTACAATGGATTTCTGCCCACACTGGGATACCGGGAAATGAAAGAGCTGATGCTCTGGCAAAGAAAGGAGCTAGCCTCCCTCAGCCTGAAACTCCTACGAATTACAACACCTGCTGCCAAATGATCAAGTCAAACCTCAAGGAAGAGTGTCAAGATTATCAACAGTTTAATCTCGAGAACGGAAACCGTTCAGAGAAATAGAGTTCAAGTTTATTTTCCAGAACGTTCTGAAAAATAGAACCGGCCTTAAAATAAAGTTGTAACCTTACCTTGGTGCAAGCAACACAATCCATGAATATCACTAAATTTGGTATAATAATCAATTTAATCGAAATTCACTGGCCACAAAAATCATTAATGTACGCAACAAATGAAATAATAAAAATAAACAAATAGGCCTAAACAATAAAAAATGGGTAGGCTAAGCTTGAAAATATATTTTAAAAACATATTGTGCACTAGGCCGATATTCGCGAACTGTGTCTACAAAGCTCGGCCAGCCCCGGCCGAATAACTCGGACACTTAACATTTTGGGTTCGGTTGACTCGACCTCCCCACATCACTCCTCATGCAAGAAGGGCTTCCCCTCGTTCCCGGAATAGACAAAAAACTTCTTTGCCTTCCGTCCAGGTCATATGACGTAGTAATATATATATCATATCTGCTCATGTCTATGACCTTATGAGTATGCATAGTTCAAGTTATGGAGACGATGAAAAAAGGGAGTGTATACAGACCCGGTAACCGGGAACAAAGTCACAAAGTATACAGACCCGGTAGGGGAACTCTTTTGTGATTACGGAAAGTTTCAGCGCCCTCTTGGCTCAGGGTAGACCTAGGTTCTTCTAGATCTATGGCCTAGGTCTAGATCTAGACAGACATTTAAAAATCATTGATCTAGTTTCGAGGTTAGCCTAGATTGCGGATGTTTTTCCGATGAACGATCATTTTTCCTCCGTTTTTGAAGTTCGAGGAATCACAATTTGAAGAAAAGAACAATGTCATAATTTCAATTGAGCAGTCATCCTCTCTCTCTCTCTCTCCTCTGTCTCTGTGTATCGCTCGCATTCTCTTTTGGCCGGCACTATTTCTCCGAACGTTCGGGAAAATAAAGCTGGGCACTATTTCTCCGAACGTTCGGGAAAATAAAGCTGGGCACTATTTCTCCGAACACTGTGAAATCTCATCCTTTCCCGCAAATTTTGGATATTATATAGATCTATAATTATAGTAGCCTATAGGCCTACCAAAGATTGTTCGTATACAATATGGTTCAATCGGTGCAAAAAATGTCCGCAGTAAATATTTATAAAAAGAAATGCTACAATTCCAAGAAACAGTTTTTCGCTACATTGATAACGACACACAGAACTGGCATCTGCGTTTGACACTGCTGCGACCAATGTACTGACACTGGCAAGCCCCTTAATGTGTGTGATTCCATAATTTACATGTAATATCCTGCACTTTTTTTTAAATTACGCACATTTAGGGTTAAAACAGCCAAATCTTCTTCGGACAGGTGGACACACGCCCTTATTTGTTAATGTTTGTTGTTGTTTGTGGTCTGTTCTAATTTTGATTTCTTTCTGTTGTGAAACCTTTCTTTTTCACATTTTTACACTCATCTAAAAATCTCTAGACTAGCTAGCTCTTGAAAATTGAAATAGATATAGACCCAAAAATGTGCCCCTGTGTGTGTGTGTGTGTGTGTGTGTGTGTGTGTGTGTGTGTGTGTGTGTATGTGCGTGTGTGAGAGTGTCTGTGTGTGGTAGTAAGTGGAGAGTGAGGAGTGTGTGTGTGTGTGTTTGTTTTTCGGGCCTTATTTCAAATTTCAGCCTTTATTCAGTAACAGTTCAAAGTATACAAAAATAGAAACACAGGATCCATTCACTCCAGGGCTCATGAGTCGTTCATCTCTTCCAGTTTCACTCATTCATTCAATTCTCGTGTTCTCTCTCGCGGCTCATCCCCGTCCGCATGACTTTCATACCCCACCCCCTCCCTCCAGGCACACACAAAGAAAACCTCACTCATTCCCTTGCACCCTGCGAACCATGGACAATAATACAGGTAAAACACTGCCTGGGCTGCATTCCTTTCGTTCGGGAGCTGTGGACCAGGCCAGGGGAGGGTCGGTGTCGTCTTGTAGTTGCTGTCACCTGTGGATACACTCGCACATTCTTCCTTTCACTTTCACTGCTCTTTCACTCACACTGTCTCTCCATCCACAGCTCAACTCGTCATACGTTCAAAAGTTGCCTACTGGTCATGTTTAGTTAGTGTGTGTACATGTGCATGATGGTGGTGGGTGTGTGGTGGGTGTTAGTGAAGGCTGTCTGTAGGCGGGCTTGCCATGCGGTGTTCCTTCCCAGACCAGAGGGCAGAGGCAGAATGAAAGTTGGCGCCGAACTCTCGTAATAAATAGGCAAAATATCACGAGACCGGAAGCCGGAAACCGTTCGGAGAAATAAAGATCGGCACTATTTCTCCGAACGTTCGGAGAAATAGTCACTTCGTTCTCTTTTTCTTTGTTGTTTGTCTCTGTCTTTCTTTCTCCCCACCTATTTCCCACTCTATCTTTCTCTCGTTCCCTCCTGTCAACTGGGGCATCACACATTTTGCTAGCACTTCCCCCTGCTCTCTCTCTCTCTCTCTCTCTGTTTCTCACACACATTTGACATTGACATTGACATTGACGATTAGTTGTTTGAGGCTCTAAGTAGAGCCTGTTCAACTATCTGGTAATGAACGACAATAATGACACACACTCACACACACACACACACATTACTGGGTCTGGGCCCTGAAACGTTCCGACATCACAAAAGAGTTCCCCTACCAGGTCTGTATACTTCGTGACTTTGTTCCCGGTTACCGGATCTGTATTTTATACACACTTCGCTGAAAAAATGGTGGACCTACTTTTGATTTACCTGGCTCTGTCGCAAAAATGAACAAACATTCAGTGAAAACGAGTGAAAGGGAAACAAAACGTGCGAGATTGTTAGCATTACTTAACAAAGATTACATTGGTTTATAAATTAACAAAATATCCAATCAAGATTGGCTTTAAAACGAGTCGGAACAACACTGTTCAAGTTCAGGTGGGCGGCCGACTTCTTGTTCAGAAGGCCGAGATGCCCAGACAGTACTGTAGATCTAGATTCTAGATCAGGATCTAGATCTAAATCTAAATATAGGAATCTAAATAATTGGCCCCAACTGCGGCCTAGGATTACAGGATTACAAAATTACATGATGAATTTTTGGTGCCGAATTTTTTTGTTGTATATTATTAGCCTTTATTATAAGGACCTGAAGTCTGAAGTAAGCTCCTTTCATCATCATACAATAATGGTGTGGGAATCTGGTCAATAACAGTTTGGTGGATCGGAACATAAAAACTTACAAAAGCAGATTCTCTTTGCGAGGACCCAACGTTGAAAACCATACGCACAAGAAGAATGCACTCTGAACTTGCGTTCACACTACTTCTTTTGGAACTTGGAACGCAAGCATCGTCATTCGTCATCGAGCTTGACTTAGAAACAAACTAATGCCAGGTTGTTTTAAAGGAAAGCCGCCATTTGTAACGTGAAACTCGCTGTACCTGCGTTCTCTGTGTTTTTAGAAAGGTATAACACTAGCTATAATATTATAGAGGCCCACGGAATAATAACAAGATTACAATTAATCGTTATAAGCTTTTAAAATTGTATAAAAAGTCTGTATGCTTGTCTGTGACTGTGGCTAAGTTTATTATTTTAAAACGTCACTGGTGATCAAATCACAGAATTCTACACTTTCTGTGGATCAAATTCAAATTCGTACTTTCTTTTCCGTTTTGCAAAAATAATATTATTAAAAGCAGCACCCCCTCTCCCTTTAATTCTCCAGCACCTTCACACTTTCTTGAAAAATTTTTTACAGTTTTTTTTTCTTTTATCATTCCGTCTTTAGCCTTCCGCAGTAGGCCCCTAACCTAAAGGCAGCAGGCCTTAAGGTTTTTCGCTGGGTTTTTTGTTGTTGTTTTTTTGGCGACTGCGGCTTCGGATGCAGTAAAACTGGCATCTCTAGGGCCTACTGAAAGTGAACTTTTCTAACAGAAGAACGTCAACAATCAACACAAACACGTTCTAGCCTTAGCCTAGTATTCTAATTGAACTTCTCTCTGACACTCTCTACTATCTAGTCTCTACTGCTGGCCTGATGGTGACTGACTGACAACTACTTAACAAGCAAAATCAACTCACAAAGTTCGCGCTCTCGACACAACTCAGTACTTGGTACTCACTGGGTGTAGGTAGGCTTGTCTTTTACAAACTCATTTTCGGTCTGTGACCTGTGGACCTCAACGCTACACACACCTCGGTAAATAATCTATTTTTTCTAGATCTAGATTCTAGATATAGATCTAAATCTACATCTAGATGTATATCTAGATCTAGATCTAAATCTAGATTCTAGATGTTTTTTCTAGTCTAGATATCTAGATCTAGATCTAAATCTAGATTATACATCTAGACTCTCTCTATTTCTTTCTGGAGCCATTCGGTCGCCTCAAAAACAAACATGTTTGGTTTCAGTATCAGGCGATCGAGTCGGGCGATGAGCCCGATCCAGCTGTAGGTAAAATCAAAAATAATTCAAAGTGGCGTTCCGAGGTTGTGACAGGCGACAATCAGACGTGAAAATTGAGGAAAAAAAATTGGGTATACGCTGTACAACTGTATTTTGAAGGTACATCTATTAAATTAATTATTCCCAGGTTTGCCTGCTATCAATGGTGTGACGACAAATTAATTGAATTATAGTAGCAATGAAAGGGGAACCTGCTTTTAAACATTGCCAGCAATGGAAAGATATGTTGGTGAAGAAATCAAACAAGACTTGTACAAAGATGTTGGTGAAAAAATAAACGTTTATGGGCTGTAGGAAATCTCTTCAAACAGGCTCCCAAATGCCATTTTCAACCCTCTAAAAGCACTAAATTTCAATTTCTTGGGGGGCTTCATCCCCTGAACCCCCACGGGGACCCTGCTGGGGGCTCTGCGGCCCCCAGGCCCCCTGCAGAGTTTTCCTTACTTTTCACCTTCGGATGGTGGAAGCACTGATTGTTGGCCTCCAGCCTAGATCTAGTCTAGATCTAGTTTTTGAAATATTTGATGGTATTTATTCGAATTTATCACACAAGCCCACACGTGTCAAACACGGGGGCCTTCTTACCCTCATTGGCGTGGCCGGCGTGCCATGAACAGTAAGCATGGGCGAAGTCGAGTCGAGGTTCGGAATTCGACGAATTCGTGGGGTCTGAGTCGGAGCTCGAACATTGGGCAGGAGGACGAGTCCGAGCACGAATTCCCGAACTAGGGCAGCCAAGGGGAAAATGGAACACGAGGAGCGAAAACATATTTAATTCGTTTAAAACTGAATAATTTTGTAATTACGCAAAACTGCACCCAAGAAACACTTTTGGACGCTCAAAATTTTGGTTTACCAATAAATGAATAAAAATGCATAAGTTTGAAAAGTATCATAAAACACGATGTCTGATTTCTATTTTCCTCTCGCTGTGTTCAGAAGGAAGCGGCGAGTTCGATTTGGACCGTCCCACAATTAGCCGGATCCGTTCGACTCACATGAGCCTTTAGAACGCGCTGATTCGCTAGCAGTTACAAATCCCTTCTGCTGGTGGTTAGGCCCTAAGAGGCCAAGGTCAAATTTACGCACTACGGTAACATACGAGCATTGCATCTCTGATTGCACCAATCACAATTTCAATTGAAAGATTATGGGATGCCTCGAGATGCTGCAAGCGATCTTCACGTCAAATTCAAATCTCGTGATTATCCAAGCCTCCTTCCTTCTTTGGCTTTCACTGCGATCACACACATTTCACTACTTTTCTTCTCTTCATTGTACTACATGTAGATCTATTTTCTTACGACCCGTCTGGCACTTACATTTACATTGTCACATTTCTTTGTCTCTTTTGCATTACTCCATGTTTGTTTTCAACCTTGTATGTTTCATCTTGTCATAATAAATGTTGATTGTGATATAGATCTAGATCTAGATCTATTACTGTTATTTTTTATAGACTTCTGTCTTGCTGACTATTGCTTTGATTAATGCATGGTCTGACTTTATTGTTCGAGACTGCTGGATTTTATGCTTTGATTTTTATTAGCCTACGACCTGTTTGCATCCATTATACTCGCACATGAAAGCGGCTGTACTGTCAACGAGGGGCAAATAACTTTCAAAACAAACTGGTGCCCTCCCCTGATGTCAATGAAAACATTGCCTGCCTCAATCCCGACCTCTGTGACCTCTTCCCTGCTCCTTCCCCATCCCCCCCTCCCCGCCCCCTTTGTCTACACCGGTCCGTGGCGTCGGGATTCTCTACAGCGTGTTCGACTCGACGGCTGGAGGGAGAACGACTTGACACGAATCCCACCGAATTGACACGAATCCCACCGAATTGACACGAATCCCACCGAATTGACCTTGCCTTTCCTCAAATTTGATTGGCTGCTATCTTGACCTGAATTCGAATTCGGAGTCGAAGTCGACGAATTCGCGCCCAAAAATGTTAGGAGTCAAAAGTTCGGAAGTTCTCGGAGTCGGCCCACCCTTAATGAACAGTCTGAGCCCCCTCCCCTCTCCCTATTAGAGGAATATCATTCAGTAGCTACAAGACCACATGTATGTGCCATCATTCGTATCTGTTCCTTGTGTCCATTATTATTATTTCCCTTATTTGTCAATCATATTCATCTGCTTTATTTCTGTTCCGTTTCTGTCCCAGTCATGCATCGTCTGACGTATGTCTTAATTGTGCTTGATTATTAAAAGTCCTCGTCAAGTCACAAAGAGTGTTAACATTTATTTATGAAGACATAAGAGATACATCATGACCACCATCCCTTGCCCTGCCCCGGGCTGCGACGTGGAGTGGCCTGCATCTACGCCGACCAAGGTGTTGACATGCCTCATTGACATCCACGCCACCACAGCCCATGCAACACGAGCGAATGCACCGACTGCGGCAGCCAAGGCTGAGAAAGTGCGACGCCCTGTCGTGTCTGCATCCGGAACGAGCGAGGCGTGGTCACACTTCACCCAACGGTGGGCCGACTACAAACAAGCGACTCGCCTCACTGGTGCAGACATCGTCTTCCTGTACCACGACCGGGTAGTCATCCCCCCGCCGCTCCGTGAGCGAGTCCTCCAGTCCTTACACTCTGCTCACCAGGGTGTGTCCCAAATGTGCTCTCGAGCTGAGGCCTCGTTTTTTTTGGCCCGGCATGACTCCAGCCATCACTGAAGTGCGGGCCCGCTGTCAGTCATGCAACCGCATGGCACCTTCCCAGCCGAGTGCACCTCCCACCCCTCCAATAGCACCGGCATACCCGTTCCAATGTATTGCGGCGGATTATTTTCATCATCGAGGCCACAGCTACCTAGTTGCAGTCGACAGGTACAGTAACTGGCCTATCGTTGAAGAAGCCTCCCATGGATCTGCCGGCCTCGTTGCCGTGTTGCGTCGCATCTTCGTCACGTATGGCATCAGTGATGAACTGACATCGGACGGAGGCCCAGAGTTCAGCGTCTCAGAGTTGGCACACGCAGCCCCCGTTTGTTTACATGGGGGACATCACTACCATGAACTGTAGTTAGTACTAATATAACATAACCTATTTGATGCTGATTGAAAGTTTTTAATCTCTCCACTCACTAACAACTTAACAGAAGTCGCAGACCTGGCTATTGAATTTAAGTCTTTAAAAATTAGGCTAGCGCGTTAGGCCTGCACTAATGTGAAGTACAGTAAATTTCCTTGGAGTTGCAGCAGAACACAGTCTGACATTATGACATATAGGCTTTACAGTGTGCCATTTTTTTTCTAGGCAAAGTATAGGGTCTATATTTCAAGAGTGGCTTCGTTATTGATTTTCTTGATTTTCAATAATCAATGTTCATTCATCACCTGGTTCTCTGTAAGTCTTACTAATTGTGAATATTTTGATCCTTTTATTAGATCTATGTCATGTTTTGATTTCCACTTTCCAATTTGAATCAGATTTGGAAAATTCAGGTATGTGATTCGACTTCGACTACCGCGTTTTCAGTATAACCACTATTTTGTGTAGTTTTAAGTACTCTTATTCGTCATTTCGCACTTACAGTTTCTGTTTAAGGGTGAGAATGAGACTCATAATGCTGCTGAACGCTGACAAAATGTCTTTTTCTTATTCTCACAGCACTTTTAAAAAAAGCATTCTTCTGAAATTCGAATTCTAATACAGTGAGTGTCACATTCAATGAGGTCGCCGGGACCGGCTTGTTGTCTTCGTTGGATCCGACCCCTCGTTGAACGTGATTAAGGCTTTAAGAAAAGAAAGGAGACAAGTTATTATCTTACACGATGTACCAATACCAGTAATTAAAACAGTTGTTCCCCTTGATGACAAAAATCTCAAACAGCATTAGTGTTCGCGTGTTTGACCTGTTTTCTGACGATTTCTGCATTTTAAAATATTTTTTTCCAGATCACTTTTTGTGTGGAAATATACCCTCTCACATCTAGGCCTACATCAACTTAAAGTAAAGGCGGGAGCTTGGATTTATTTTTTCATTTCCGATTGCATTGCAATTTCCCTAGATGATTAGGCCATGCACTTTCATAAAGCTTGGTGTTGGTGTGGCCAGTGATAAAGGGGAGCTCGCTAATAGAGACGGACTTAGATTCTGCAAACTATTATAATCATTTTCAATTTATTGAATTTGGATTTTTGAAGCATCAAAAACAAATTTCTATTCTGGGTGTTTGAAGTTTTGATTTTTGTGCTTGTGTATTGTATATTGTTGGTTGATTTAAGTAATGTTTCTCTTTCTCTCCATAGCTTTATTGAAGAATGGTGAATGTGACAAAAGGAGTCCTTGTTGAATGTGATCCTGCCATGAAACAGTTCCTTCTGCATCTAGATGAGAAAAACGAATTTGGGAGAAAATTTGTTCTACAGGTAATACAGTCGAACCTGCCTTAACAGAAACCTGTGTAAAACGGAAACCTGTCTTAACGGAATCTCCCCACTCCCCCCTTGATATATTCCTCTTTAATTACCTGTATAAAACGAAAACCTGTCCAACGCGGAAACGGAAAGAAAAATCCGCTCCCTTCCGAGGGTTTCACCTGTCTAAGACAGAAAATGCTTTGCCCGCTCAGCCCTGATTTGAAACAAAACTCGCAAGTTTGGTTCCGCTGGCTCTGAACTTAAAGCCATGGCCATGCCGCTGGGCGAGGAAGGGGAGTAGGGGTGTATTTTGGGGGTAGATGTTACCCCATCATGTGAGCTCTGAGCGATGCAGATGGTCAGTGTAGTGTGGGTGTGAAATCCCACGACTGCCCGTGAGAATGCTCAAGTAGCGAACCACTACGGAAACTTTCCTTGGTAGCCAGAAGCCAGAGGTGTGAAATTAGATTGACCAATGCCTGCCGCCCTGATCGTACGACCAGCCGCGAAAAGAGTTCCTCGAATCGTTGTTACTACGATGGCAGTGAGGGGTGGCATTGGTGGGTGGGGCTAAGGGTGGAAGCAAATGAGATGTTCAAACCTTTCTGTTTTTAATAGGTCAGACAGTGGTCCTATGAAAGGCAAGTACTGGTGGTAATTGGATACGTAAGACTGACGCATGTCATTATCAGACAGGATAGCAGCTGAGAGGTGTGAAATTTTGACCTCTGCTTGCCGATCGGAGAAGCGATCCTTGATCCCACCGGCTGGGCCTTTGACCCCCCCCTAAATTCCCCTGTCTAAGACGGAAAATGTCTACGACTACGACGGAATTTTTTTCCCGCTTCCTTGCGATTCCGTCTTACACAGGTTCGACTGTACCATAAATTTTTTATAACCATTTCTGATAAAAACGGTATTTATGGAAAAAATGGAATGGAACATGGCAAACAATCAAACAGAGCAAAAGTTGAAAATTGTGACTTGTGTCGTTTTTCTCCTGTATACTTTATACATGATGTATTAATGTATTATGTTTACCTTACAATGAAGCATATTATGAAGACCGATGTTGCTTTAGGCAAAGAAAAGCGTTTCAGATTTTTCAGGTCTATTTTTAGTGCGTATGTGTCATTTTTTTCTTGTTATTCTTTTACCAGTGAACACTCAATTCTCATTTATAAATCCATGAAATGCTCATTTATATAGATTTATATAGCATATCTGAATATATATATATAAAAGTGTGGTTCTAGAGTTGTATTTCCTATTTCCCACAGGACTTGGACGACACACATTTGTTTATAGCAGCTGACATTATTGAGACTTTACAAGACAGAATTGACGATTTGATGGATCAGATGTCCTTTTCAATAGCAGAGAAATAGGTAAGACTTGCTGTACAAAGCTGTCAAGCTTCAAACTTGCCAGGAGCAGTCCAGCTTTTCAGACTTTTATGAAATAGACAAAACTGATTTATCAACTTTTGAAAAGATAGCTGTTTTCATTTCGTTTCAAGTAGAGTAAAGGTATTATTTGCGGCCATTTCTCACTTCATTTTCTCTAGAAGCCAAACGAATAGAGATAATTACAAAAAATTTTGACTGCAAACTTGAACATCATCTGGCCACTAGATGTATAATGGTCTAGAGCATTCTCGGCTATATTGCCAAGAAGGATGATCATTCTAAAATACCATGTGAAGTGTCCGGTTTGCGACCAGTGCTCCTTTATGCGGACAGGGAACTGTGATGCGATCACATGGGGATATGTATGCGGTCAGGAACTCTCAACATGATTTTGTAGTGTACTGGGGTTTTTGGTTTTTTTTAAAGAAGCCATATCGGCAAGGTGGCCTCGTCATTGATGAACTTTGTCCAAAAGGTTCAAATCCCGACCACTGACCTAAAGAAATATATTTTTAGGTCAGTGGTCCCGACAGTGTGATACTCTTGAGCTTCGCCTTTTTATTGACCACCACCAACCCACCCCACCCCACCCCCAGTTATGCAGCTGACCCCTGTCGAAGGCTTTCCCTTGAAATTGCCTGATGATATGAATGCTAACAATTCTTTTATTACTTTTCCACGGATAGCTGGGATTGTTCTGAGTCCAGACCAGTCACAGTGTGCCCACTGTACCATTATGTGCTCTTTGGAATGGGCACATGTCACAGAAAAGTTAACCCAATGAATATTTTATATGACCAAAAAATGGAAGATTTGAATTTTTAACCAAAGTTCAAAATAGACCAAAGGAAACTTAACTTAAGGAGTCATGATCCTTTAAGCACTTGAACTATTTGGTTTCCAGAAACCATGATTTAAAATAAATTCTGTTCCCTTTTGATTGCATAAAGTACATTGACCCTTAAAGCTGTTTCTTGCGTTTATTTCAGTGCTAAGACAAGAGGAAAGACAAGCGGAGAACATTATGGATTTGGACGCAGTCAGAATGCTCTTTAACGGGAATGAAGACAACATTTTATATTACCATAAACTGCGAAACATTCTTTTAGCATCAGAAAATGACTGCAGCCCAAGCCCTTGTGATCCCAGTGATGAGACCTTTGTGGAGCGGATAAAGGAGTCACAGTGGCAGCATTCACCAGTTCTGAAAGCAACCGAGGACATTTTGTATTTAGATGGAGACATGCATGGTTATCAAAGCAAACAAACAGCTCTTGACAGCAGTGAGGTGAAAGAAAATGACTGTTGCTCTGACTCTAGTCAAGCAGCCTTCAGTGAAAACATGGAGCAAGAGGATGCTAGGTAAGATGTCTATTCAAGATCAGTATAGCGTTTTTCTGGTTGTGACATAAATGACTTTGAAAGCGTTGATTTCTGGTCGCAAAAAGGGGAGTTAGTTCATAATAATAATATGAGATGAGAAACTGAGATTCTGTGGAACACGGGTACTAACAGTAATAAAATCAGAGGGAAAGGGAAGAATTTTTTGACAACTGTGACAAACACTCCAAAAAAATAAGAAAATTATAAAATCGTGAAATGCGTTAAACTAAACCTTTCTTTACTTGCATTGCGACATGTTTATTTTATTATTATACCTCAGGTGCTGGATTTCCCATCTACTCCTACCAACATCGGTGATGTAGTGGTTAAGCTCTTTATCTTGCCTAAGTTTAGTGATCAAGTATCTCTGATTTCTCCTTGGATGTGTCCCTGAAAGCCTGTATTGACAGTGGCAGGCATGGTTACTACAGCTCGCCTCCAAGTTATCTAAAGTGTGTCAATGAGACCATAAAAATATTTACACCAATTATGTCTCCAATTTCATAGACTCTAGGATTTGTTTCAAAATTACGTTCATGTGTGTCACAATTTTTCCTTCTGCGTAACATGGGAAAATTGAAGGTGATTGTTGGTGTTATGGTATGGGATGCTGCTGCTGCTTCTTTACTCTTACCGTTTTTCTTATCTATTCCTAATAAAATGTCGTGATGATCACTCTTGTGTACCATAAACTACAACGTAACAGAGGCAACATTTTTATTTTACATTGCAGTGCCCTCATTGAATTTGAGTGTGGATATCAGGGATGCACAAAGACATTTTCATCTCTTTCAGCGTAAGTATATTGGTCCACTTGTTTTAATTTTATTTCTGTATATTGATAATTTCTACTTTTTATTGTGAAGGGGCGTTGTCTATTTTAAGGGAGGGCAAGACACTGAAGATTTGGGTTTTTTTACAAGGGAGTGTATACAGACCCGGTAACCGGGAACAAAGTCACAAAGTATACAGACCCGGTAGGGGAACTCTTTTGTGATTTCGGAAATTTCAATGCCCTCTTGGCTCAGGGTAGACCTAGGTTCTTCTAGTAGATCTATGGCCTAGGCTAGGTCTAGATCTAGATCTAGACAGACAGACATAAATCCTTGGTCTAGTTTCGAGGCTAGCCTAGATCTAGATCTAGATCTAGATCTAAATGAAGATTGCGGATGTCTTTTCGATGAACGATCGTTTTTCCTCCGTTTTGGAGTTGGAGTAATTACAATTTGAAGAAAAGAACAATGTCATGATTTCTCTCGAGCAGTCATCCTCTCTATTTCTCTCTCGCTCTGTTGCTTGCATTCTCTTTTTCTTTGTTTGTCTCTGTCTTTCTTTCTCCCCACCTATTTCCCACTAGACGTCTATATCTTTCTCTCGTTCCCTCCTGCCAACTGGGGGCATGTCATACATTTTGCTAGAACTTCCCCCTGCTCTCTCTCTCTCTCTCTCTCTCTCTCTCTCTCTCTCTCTCTCTCTCTCTCGCTCTCTCTCTCTCTCTCTCTCTCTCTCTCTCGCTCGCTCTCGCTCACGCTCACGCTCATGCACACGCACACGCACGCACACACACTACCGGGTCTGGGCGCTGAAACTTTCCGAAATCACAAAAGAGTTCCCTTACCGGGTCTGTATACTTCGTGACTTTGTTCCCGGTTACCGGGTCTGTATACACTTCATTTTTAAAAAATATGATCAGTTTATTTGTGGCACCATGGATGCAAGAGTAGGTCTATGGGCATAGGCGAGAATTCATCATTTGGGATATTTTGCAAGATTTTCAAGAAGATGGCACATTTTATGAACCAAAAAGAAGTAACATTTATGATTCCATATGTTTATTTTTAGTGTACCCATTATTATGTAAAATAGTTAATAATGAAAGAGGTGTTTATTTAAAATCTAAGGAGAAAAACTTTGCTGTTTAAATTTAAGAGTTTTATTTTGGGATTTTTGGATCCTGAAAAAGTATTCCAGGTTATGAATAGAATTTTATTTTGTTTTGTTTTTATAGACCAGTCTTTTCTTGTGTGTGTATGTTATGCAGGACAAAGCTTGTGAGATTCTACTTGCTACAGTTGCAGTGCTGTTGTTTTTTTGGGGGGGGGGGGTTTGGTTTTGTTTTGTTTTGCTTTTTTGGAGGGGGGGGAGGGGGAGCTAAAATAATTTATTTGGGAACCAGGAAGCTTGATGCCGTTTGTTTTGGGGTTTTTTGGTTTTTTTAAAGGGGGTGTGGTTTTTTAAAATTTCCAGATCAAAATGAGAATCACGATAATGATGTAGGGCCTAAATCTATATTCACCAAAAAATTGATCTTATTGTGTGCAGACGATTAGAGACATGATTAGACGGTAACAGAGAAAAGGAGGAGGAGAGATAATGAAAGTGTCAGACCTTGCCAAATATCGATGTTTTCTTCAAAATCGAAGTTTGGGAAAAAAATCAGTCCACAGAACCCCAGTACATTAACGTAAGATTACGTTCTTGTATGTCACTGTAGAGTCTGATCTCGTCACAAATGTCCTGTGGATGGTTGGCAGGTGCTCTGATGTGTTTTGCTTCTTTCCTATCAAACATCTATCGTTCTTATCCCTCCTCCTTCTTTTTTTTTTTTTTTTTTTTTTTTTTGTATATACTCTGTGTAACATCTCTAATCTGCGGCATTTATATGACATATTTCTGTTGCCAGTGCTGCATGCTTGGTGGTCACTTGTGAATATCTAGCTTGGGGAATTGAATGTAGGGGTAATGGGAAGTTCATATATAGAATCTACCAGTGGCAAGACTGCCCCAAACCAGATGCTTATACTTATGTGCAGAGGTATTGTGCTCACCAGAGAGAAGTGTCAATTTTACCGGTCTTTACGGTTGTCTAACTTACACATTTTTTCTTCAAAAACAAAAACAAATAGAGAGCTAAAGGTTAATTTTTTTTAAAGCGGAGACTTGTACTTGGTCTTTGACATATACGATTTGTTCACTTTTTTACTGTGTTTTCTCAGGTATGAGTCTCACTACCACAGCTGCCACCACTACACATGTGCCACATGCAGGCGTGTGTTTGTATCCAGTTTCATGCTTGACATCCACATACAGGAGAACCATGACTCTTATTTCCAGATCCTGTGCTCTCGGATTGACATGGTGAGAATGAACGAGTTGGTCGTCCTGTTCTGGCACTTTTATACTATTTCATTATTATTATTTCTATTATTCCTAGCAAGATCCCAGTTCTATGAACTGGAAAATATATATTAGCATTGAGGAGACTGAAGACTGCATAAAATCTGTTCCTCTTTATTGTATTAAAATTATGAATGATCTTGAATTCTGTGCTCCAAATTCATCTAGGATAGAGTATAGAGCCTTGCTCTATAAAAAGCAAGCTTCAAATTTTTTTAACGTCAATACAATGAAGTGAACATTTTCTCAGTTTAAACGAACTCAGCGTGTTGGGGCCATCACTACACCAAATATTATATCAAGAAAAAGTCAATACAATGAATTTGACCTGAAGTACCCATGGACACTGCAAAGCACACACCCAAACAGAGTTAGATATCGAGATTCTAGATCTGGATACAGCAGAAGCAGCTTTGTAATCACAAAGAAGAACTCTATGGCACACATACGACAAAGCACAAACCGCACTTCTGTTCTTGCTAACTACTCCAAATCAGTCTTGAATTCTGCTGTGCTCCATATACATCTAGGATATAGAGAGATCTAGATCAAGAGTCTTGCTTTATTAAAAAAAACTACACACCAAATTTTGAAAATGTCAATACAACTAGGTAAACATTTTGTGGGTTTAAATGAACTCAATGTGTTGGGGACATGACTACACCAAATGTATCTAGAAAGTCAATACAATTAAGTTTTGCCTGAAGTATCCATCGACACTGCGAAGCACCCATCGACACTGCGAAGCACAGACATCCTAACAGAGTTGGATATCGAGATTTTAGATCTGGAAATAGTAGATGCAGTTGTCTCACATGCACGACGAGGCACAAAACGAAACGAAAGAAGTCCTCAGTAAAATATGAAATGGCTAATGGCAGAGTGAAAACATCCGAGAGCTTCGATTTACTGGAAATACCATCACACTTGAAAAATTAAAAGGTAGTTTCGGAACTTTGAAAATATGCCCCTGTAACCCTTTGTGACAATTCTTAACTGAATTATATTTTTGTATATTTTATGGGCGCCTGTGTAAAAAAATGTATACTGACCTCACATACGTGTTTAGCTCCATTATAATATTATTGATTATCATTTCTATTATTATTGACGTTGATCTTACTATTATTTTTTTAAATTATCAATTGTTATTAGTATTAGAAGTTGAATAATAATAAAATGATAATACTATTATTATAATACTCTCAAAAATGACATCGGAACGCTGGCAACAATTAGGATAACACAATGTAATTATACGCAGAGTTACATGATAGACTTAACAATATCTTCTTTCATGTCTTCTACACCTGTACACCCTTCCCTCCTCCCTACTTTCTTTATTTTTCTTATCTTCTTTTGTCCTTTCTCTACTTCTATTTTTTACCCTTTTTACAATTCTTGCGGGCCTTCCTCAGTTCAGTTGGTGTCAGGAAGGACTACAGGGCTGGGATGCGCCCCCCCCCCCCCTTCCCCCCCCCCAGTCCCCAACCAGGGCGCTGCTACTGACTGAAGTTTCTTTAGGCCATTCCCAAAGGAGGGATTTTAACATATTCTTATGCACAGTGGAATTGTAAAAGGGCTGATTTATAAATGTCATGCTCATACTGTGCTGGAACAACATGGGGGAACTGCTGCTTTTTCTTTCCTCATCCTGACTGTCGTCCTTTTTTTCCTCTACTTCTTTTGTGTGTTTGTCACTCTTTGACGAACTGCTTTTTCCGGGGTGCCTTGATGGTCGAAGCTGACTTTGTGCTGTTGAGGCTAGAGAGGTGAGCAGAGTGAGCCTGATTCTCTGTTTCGACTTCTCTGTTGACATTCACCCCTTGGCACTCATATGACCTTTTCTAGCATCTGCGTTTGTTGCCATTTTTTTTGTCCAAAAGCTGCCACAAAAATGTCAAAAGTTGCCATAAAAGTTGCCATTAATTTTCAAGCTTACAACTCTCTGTGACGAAGTATGTAGCAATATGTTAATAGAGGAAACTTAATCTAAAGCACCAGAATTTCTTGTGCTCCGTTTAAGCCTCCAGAATGTCATTTGTAGCCACACAGAGTGTAAAAACATGAAAAATAAAGGTTTCACAACGGAATGAAATCAAAATTAGAGCAGCACATAAACAATGACAAAAATTTACAAGTATAAGGGTGTACGTCCATCTATCCGAAGATTGGCCGTTTAACCCTAAACGTGCTTAATTCTATGTTAAATTATGGAAATACGTATAAGGGGAGTATTAACTCACTGAGGGTTGAGCGCTGAGCGACTCAATATTTCCGGGAACCCATTAAAAGTTGGGTGTTTTCAAGAAATGGTATCTCTTATTTATTTGTCGACCAGAAGTCACAGTAAAGGACCAAGAGGGAAAAACCATTTTTGGAAAGGAAACTTAGTCTAGACGATGGGTAGAGCATTTCAATAGTCTCCTGAACAGACTAGACCACCACCAAGTAACCCGCCATACATCCTGCCAGCAAGAAATGATTTACCAATCTGCTGTGATGCTCCGTAGAAACAAGAGATTCTGGATACCGTTAAGAAGCTGAACAACAGTAAAGCAACCGGTCCTGATCAGACTCCACCTGAGGCCCTGCCTAAAAACAGATGCCAATGTGACAGCAGACCCCTTTCTCCCATTGTTTACCAGGATCTGGAATGAGAGCAAGTTCCCAAAGGATTGGAAAGGACATCTTGTGAAATTTCCTAAAAAGGGGGATCTCAGCAACTGCAGCATCTACCGAGGAATCACTCTTCTCTCAATACCAGGTACGGTCTTCAAAAGAATCATTCTGGAGAGAATCAAGTCTGCAACGGATCCAAGATTTCGGGATAAACAGGCTGTTTTTCGGATAAAACGGTCAACCTCGGACCTGATTGCTACGCTGAGGATCATAGTGGAACAGTCCTGGAGTGGAACTCCCAGTTGATTGTCAACTTTCTTGACTATGACAGCATAGACCAAGCAATGCTGGAAGATACTGCGACATCACGGAATCCCACAGAAGTTGGTTAACCTCATAGGGACATGTAGGAAGGGACAAGTTGCCGCGTCATACATGAAAGCCAGCTTACTGACAGCTTTGACATCAAGACTGGTGTGAGACAGGGATGTTTACTATCACCTTTCCTCTTTGTCTTGGGGATCAACTGGCTGATGAAGAAAATCACCAGAGGACACAGAAACGGCATACAGTGGACCCCATGGACACAGTTGGATGATCTGGACTTTGCAGATGACTTAGCGCTTCTGTCACACACTCAGGAACATATGCAAGCAAATTTTAAACATCCTGCCAGAGTTTGTTGGATTGAGGACCCACCCCAGAAAGTCAAAAGTCTTAAGGATAGATCCACTATGAAAGGAGCAGGTCACAGTAGAGGGAAATGCATTAAAGAAATGTTGAATCTTTCTGCTATCTTGGGAGTATAATTGACTGAGAGGGAGAAACAGGCGCTGAAATAAAATCCCGCTTTGGAAAGGCACAGACCGCATTTATTTCTTTGAACAGGATTTGGAGGACCAGGGATATCTCACTACAGACAAAGCTGAGAATTTTCAACTCAAATGTGAAGTCAATCTTGTTGTATGGATGTGAGACGTGGAACGCATCTCAGACATGCAGAAAGAGGATCCAGGTTTTCTTGAACAAGTGTCTGAGGAAGCTACTGAGGATCAGATGGACAGACATGGTTACCAACTAGGAAGTATTAAGAAGAAGGAGACAGTCCAGTCAGAGATGAGATGGGAAAAAGACGTTGCTGATGGATTGGACACACTTTCAGGAGGTCAAGCAGCTGCATAAAAAGAAAAGTGCTAGATTGGAACCCACAGGGTAAAAGATCAAGAGGAAGTTCACATGGAACCTGGAGAAGAGTCACGGAAATGAATGTACTGACAAGTGGGAAGACATGAAGTGACATCAAGCGACTAGCCCAGGATAGAGAAATATGGATAGTAATTGTTCGTGGCCTAATATCCTGATCCAGGGTGAGAAAGGCATTGATGATGATGTGATGCGTTCCATGTCTCACATCCATACAACAAGATTTATTTTCTGTACCCATCTGCTTATGAAGTGATTGTGTCTAGTTGAGGGTTGAGCACTGAGCCACTCAATATTTCCAGAAACCCAATAAAAGTTGGAGGTTTTCAAGAAAAGGTATCTCATTAATTTGTCGATCAAACAACCAATCTTTTTTATTTATTTTTTTACATGCAATTACCCCAACCAACTATATTGCATATTTGCAATAGTTTCACTAGGCAAAATTCTGAATGTAGATTCTCACATTTGCAATAATCATCTTGTCAAGTCAGTCCGTCTTTTTGGAAAATCATAATTGTTCAGGATGAGTTGAACTCATAGTGATGTGAGCAGTCCTGTTCAGTGGATTTTTTGCAGTTACCATAATATTCATCTGTTCATATTATCATTTATTTCTTTTCTTTCTGCCACCCACCCCACCACTCCTCTCACAGTTCCGGTGTCTGGTAGAAAGCTGTGACCTCAAGTTTAGAACCCCAGAACTCAGGAAAAAGCACCTGATAGAGGAGCACAGGTTCCCAGCAAATTTCTACTTTCACAAGCCAGTGTCGGAGTAAGTTTCTTGTTTCTGGCCTCTGCTTCATATCTCACCTAAGTTAAAGTACTGTGCACGGGGGGGGGGGGGGGGTTGCGCTTTGTTTTTTTTTGTTCTTGTACCCATTTTATTTTTCGTGAAATTTTTTAAAATTTGCAATTTGAGGTGCTGAGAGTCATGTGTTCCTTTGCAGCTCCATCTCTTTTAACTCAATGAGCACCACGCACCGCTTTGCCTCCAAACCCCAGGGAACCACCCATTTCCCCCACTTTTTGAAAATTCATTAAAAATTGAAATGAAAAGCTATTTCTTTGAAATTTTCTGTGCTATTTAATAAGATATATGGGTACAACAGAAACCATAAACACATTTTGTGAAGAATGAATGACAAATGAGTATGGGACAGAAAGTTGGGACAAAATTGCCCCAGAAAATAATATTTGAAAAAATATAAATGATGTGACAAAGCTGAAATCTAATAAACTTACGCAAAATTGTTGTGGCAGTGTGTGTTTGTGAGTAGGAGAATGACGCATGAGTATGAGAGTGTACAGTGAAGTAGCATAAAAATGTAACTGATATTAATTCTGAAAAAATTTTTTAATATAGATGTAGATCTAGATATATTATAAAAATCATCTGTGACAGACTGAGAAACATTTTCATTGTCAGTGCTGCTAGTGCTAGGACTACATCTGTCATTAGATGTTCCAATACCCCCGGGACGGTGCCACTGACTGAAGTGTCTTAAGGCCATTCCCAAAGGGGGGGTACATTTCTCGTTCTAATGCACAGTAGAATTGTAAATGGGCTGATCCAACAATGTCATGCTCATAACTGTGCCTGAACTATGACAGGGAACTGCTGCTTTTTCTTTCCTAATCCTTACTGTCGTCATTTTCCTCTACTTCCTTGGTATGTTTGTCACACTCTTGTGACCCGCTACTTCCGGGATGCCTTGATAGTCGAAGCAGACTTTGTGCTGCTGATGCTAGAGAGGTGAGCAGAGTAAGTCTGATTCCCTGTAAGGATTTCTCTCTTGACGTCCACCCCTTGGCACTCATATGACCTTATGCAGTTGCGAGCGCCGTAAAACCTCTACTAAAACAATAAAACAAGATGTTCCAGGTCTGTGTACATATAATATATCTTCTCCACTTTTGAGGGCTAATATGAACTAGTACTGGGGCTAGATCTATCATCATCCCCAGCCGGACCAGGCTATGTAGTCGTTGACGAGTCGGATTCACAATCGAGAGACGATGTTGTTCAAGACCTAGATCTAGGTCTAATGTCATTTTCTCCGTCATCTTCATCACTGCTAGGCGAATTCACATTTTGATTTATGAGGTTATCTATCTGATATTTCACTGTCACTTAAATCTTCACCAAAATTATCGAGAGTTTCAATGATCTTCAACACACCTCGCTGTGCCTTGCTCTGCTTACGAGAAATGACAACAAACTGCACAGAAGTTCCTTACTTTCAGTTGTTCAGCCCGTTGGACGAATAACTCGTTTATTTGCACTAATAGTGCTGAATATGCACAAACCACAAAGAACTAGCTTGTCGGTATCCTGTTTAAGCAACTGTGGTTATTTGCAAGCATTTTTTAACTACTGGGTTTACTTTATAGTCAATTACAGTTGAACCCGCATACTCTGTGGTCGCAATTTTGCCGTACCGCATATGGGGCGGGAGTGGTGCTTGGTGAGTTAACATTTTGTGATTGACTTGAATTCATGAATTCATTTTAAAAACAGTGAATAATTCCAGTTACTTGTGATAAAGAAAACCCTGGTATAATATACCCTAAGTCTTTTTCTACTTTTTACCGAAGTGTTTCAAAAGAGATATATACCATTTCTAAAAGGCTTTTTTTGGTTACCCACATGTCCTTTAACTTTTTGCCCCATACCTGAGGTTGAAAAAAAACTATGCAGCTCTGAAGGGTCTTCTCTTTTGTGTTTGGTGGCAACTGTGTAGAGACAATCTTTTTGGTCTGGTTCTCTCTGCTGTCAGATCTTAGAACACTGAAACTGTTGTATGGTATGTTATTTTTTAAAGTTATTTTGGGAGTTTACCAGGCGTTCTGTAGTTTAGTTTTGGATTGGGTTTGGGTTATTGATAATTGTCTTGTTTTTGGGGTGATCTTGGGGGGTTTGGGGGGGGGGGTTCTTTTTTTAGTGGTTTTTTTTTTTGTTTTCTTCTTAAGTCTTAAGGAAATATCATTAGTGAGTATTATTAAAATGTAGGATGTACTGTTTAGATAGCCATAGAGCAATGATGTACATGAAACTGCAGTGTCACTGTTAGTAAACTGGAACGCATGGTTCAAATTTCAAAGATTAAAAAATAGCTAATTGAGAAACTTATTACTTTGTTGTGTGAAATGTTTTCATCCTTAATTAAACTATTTTCCTTTTTTTTTCCTGTCTAATAACCATTTTATTCTCTGGTAATGGTAGAAGAATGGTTTGTTTTTCCTCATGCAAAAGTTAAGGACCATCTATCTAAATATTTATTTTCTCTAAATTTGCTCTGTCAGAAATCGTTCTAAGGGTGTTCAAGGAGAACAAATGGACACAACTGGGAAAACTGAAAGCCAGAGTGAACGGGCAGGATTCTCTAAAGCAAAAAGCAAAACGAGGCAACCAGGAACAGAGAACTCATCCAAGAAGACAGGAAGAACAGAAAACTCATCAGAGAAGACAGGAAGAACAGAAAACTCATCAGAGAAGACAGGGACAGGTGCACCAGCAGGGATGATGTAAGCCTGAGCATGACTTTTTAATTAAGAGTGAAATATACTTTGTGTGAGATATATATAGGTAGGAGTGTGTACAAATGGGACAAAAGGCTTTACGAGTGCAATCTATTATTACTATTATTTATTATTATTACCATTATTATTATTATCATTATTATGTGTGTGTGTGCCTGTATGCAATAAATGTAGTCGAGATTGTCCAAGATGGCCACAGATTGTCGTGGAGAAAAGTGGCCGTCTCAGATAAGGGGGCGTCTCATACAGTGTCATTGTGATGTTTAAACCATTGCGGGGGTGGGGGGGGGGGGGGATAGGAGGTGACCGTTTGTGCCTGTCGTTGTGTTATATAGGTAGCTGTAACAGTGCTTCCACCAGCTAAAGCTGAAAAGTAAGGAAAATTCTGCCGGCCCCAGCAGGGTCGAGGGACAGCGTCCCGGTGAGGGTACAGGGGGCTAAGCCCCCTAAGATATGGAAATTTAGTACTTTGACTTTTAGAGGGTTGAAAATGTCTTTTGGGAGCCTGTTTGAAGAGATTGCCAACAACCCATACTACCTATTTTTTCACCAAGATTTTGTCTTGTTTCATTTCTTCACCTACATATCTATCCATTGCTGGCAATGTTTAAAAGAAGGTTCCCCTTCCATTGCTACTGTAATTCGATTAATTTGTCATCGCACCATTGATAGAAGGCAAACCTGGGAATGATGATTAGATATGTACCTTCACAATACGGTTACCCAGCGTATACCCTAATTTTCCTCTATTTTCACGTCTGAATGTCGCATGTCACAACCTCGGAACACCACTTCATATTATTTTTGATTTTAGTAGCACAAATTTCTTTCATCGCGACCCTTGCCGTGTTCCCGTGCCGTAAAATCTTCGCAAAAATTTGCAAAAAAGTTTCTTACTGACAGTAATTTTCTGTCTAAGATCACAAGTCAATATACTTGATCAACGCGCAGATTTTCCAGCCTCGGCAACTATCCGCCGAAGATAGACAGACGGAGTGAGGGAATGATAGGAGGAAAGTGATACAAAAAGTTCGCCGGATTTTGATCAATTTGCTGGTAAAAATGTACTGCCAACCAACCCGCAATGAATGCATAGGGCATAGCGGAATAATGGCTGATTGCAGGAACTGCGCAATCTGGCAGGTTTCTATAACATTAACTTATTGCCGAGAGAATTACCGTAAATATCCGTAACTTATACAAGACGATACGAAGGCGAGTACAGATCTTTTGCTACGGAATTTCGGTAGCCCTACACTGTCGCAGATTTTTACGGAGGGAGTTGATATTGATGGAGGAACAAGTACGGAACTGGCAGAAAGTACGGATTTCCATAAAAATACGGAAGAGTGGAAGCACTGCTGTAAGAACAGGACGGACTGCTGTACATTATGTGGGCAGACCCAAAGCAACAGAGCAACTTACATGGATGGCCAGAAAAGATGGGCAAAAGGGGACGGATTTATGAATATGATGGGGAAACCGTGATAACCAATGTCTGTTGCAGATTTATCACTTGATGATGCTGACGTGTGTAGTTGTGTTTACATGTATGCCTATGAGGAACAAATAGAAAGAATAAATGCTTTTTGAATCCTTATTTCTTTTCCCCGACCTCCCTCCGTGGCACCTCACCAAGGCAAAAGTAGACTTACTGTTGACCACACACGACAAAGCAAGCACGAACACCAAAACATCTAAAGCAGAATACAAAAATACTTTTAGAGAAATACCCCGGTGCGGAGCTTATCTTCACAGATGGCTCCAAAAAAGACATTGATGTGGGCGCCGCTGCACTATCTCCCAACAGTACACACCAGAGGAGACTCCATCCTGAAGCCTCCATTTTTTCTGTGGAGGCCACTGCCATTGACATGGCACTGGACACCGTAGAAAATTCTCCTAACAAATCTTTCCTTATCCTTTCTGACTCTCTCTCTGGCATCACCTCACTCACAAACTACACACTCCTACACCCAAAAATAGTTAGGCTACAACAGAAAATACACACCTTAACTGAAACTGGGAAAAGTATCGTGTTCGCATGGATACGTAACCATGTGGGCATCCGAGGAAACAGCAGGTAGATGACCTGGCGAAGAAATCTTATCCCTTCTGTTGGGATCAACGACGAACACTCTCCCACAGACTGACTTTAAAAATAGGTCAAAAAGTACACCTCCAGTCTGTGGGAGAGCCATTGGAAAAACAAACTAATAACAAACTACGCAACATTTAACCCGACCTGGGACCGCAAAATCCTTCGGGCCTCTCCAGAAGAGACGATGTTATTTGTACTCGAATAAGCATCGAACACATGGCCTTAACACACAAATACCTCCTTCAGGGAGAAGAGAAGCCGTTCTGTGTCGGATACGACGCCGATTTTACCATTAGACACATTTTAACCGAATGTCTAGACTTCAGAGAGACCCGAAGGAAATACTTTAAATGCTAAAAATTTCAAGACATTTTTTCCGTCGCTGATCCCAACAGAATTTTGGATTTTATGAAGGCCATTGGCCTTTATGGAAAGTTATGAAATTTTTAAGTGTCATTTATAAAGTTGTTTTAAATTTAAATCTAAAATCTATTTACACTCGATTTTTTGCGTTTTAACAATTTTAAATAGAAATATTGACCAGTATCAGGCCAAGAAATAAACTGTTGAGTAAAAAAATCAACTTGTTTCGCGCGCTCATATGACCTTATGCAGTTGCGAGCTCCGTAAAACCCCTTACTAAACTAAAACTTTTTTAATCCATTTATGAACAGATCAGATATTATGGGTTCGTGAACAAATGAACACAACTGGTAAAACTGATAGCTAGAGTGAATGCACAGGATTCTCTAAAGCAAAAAGCAAAAGGGGTGGTGCTCTGGTGTTGTTTGCTCCTTCTTTCCTATCAAACATCCGTCGTCTCTCTCCTCCTTTTTTTTGTATGTTACCATACTGTCTAGTGTCTTATAATCACAGTTCTAATCTTCAGAATATATGTATGGCCTATTTGTGTTACAAATGCCATAATACTTTTATCCCTAATACATATCTGGTTGATGGATGCTGTGGTGTAGTTTGCTCCTTCTTTTCTATCAAACTTATCATTTTTATCATCCTTATCTCTCCTCCTTTTTTTGTGTGTGTTTGTTACTTTTTTGTAAAACCTTTAATCTTTGGTACTTGTTTGACCTAATTGTCTTGCAAGTGCCTTAAAACTCTTACTAAAACTAAAACTTAACTAACACAAACTCAAAACCAATTTATCCATCCCACAGGATCCCAACCAGTGTTTGTTTTGGCCGTGGCTCTCAAAAGTCTTTTCAACGAAAGCCTTACAGGAAGAAAAGAATTCAAGTGGAGACAGAAATGGAGCAACAATGAGGATATACCTGCGGCTACTCAATGTTTTATTAATTATTTTTGCTTTTTGTCAGGCTGCTGGATGTATAATATTATAACTATCAGCATTCTGCTCCTTTGAAAAATAAAGTTCTTTTTAAAAAAATTATTTAGGTGCTTACTTTGTTCATGAAAGTTTTCATTGTACCAGGGTATGTTTTGTTTCCGCTATTGTGATTGATTTTTCATTTCTTGGTTTTTTGTTTTGTTTTGTTTTAGTTTTGTTCTGTGGGGGGGCGTTTTTAATCGCCTGTTTTCACCGGTGTCTGTGGGGTAGTGGTGAGGCATTCTGCCATCACACACAGAAGGCCTGAGTTTGATTCCCATGCAAGGAGAATTTTGATAGAGTATGATCTCAGTCTCAGTCTTTCTGGTGGGAAGTTGTAGGTCTATCCCTCTCAGTCCTGGTTTATGCTGAGAGACAAATTTGACGAGGGTTTTTTTACATAGCTATTGCTTGATTCCGAAGCAAAACATTTCTGGATAATATTTTTAGTATTAGAGCCGATCGAAATGCGATCGCGTTTCTGACACTTCGAAGGTGTCTCGACTTCTTGAAAAACGACACTATTGAGTTTGAAGAAGGAAATATTGATGGATTTGAACAAGAACAGGCAAATGACAAGTAAGATAAATTAGATATTGATGAAAACATTGTAGCAAGAGTTCGGGGCGATTCCGATTAATCAGCTGTAGAATTTAGATCTAGGGCCTGGCCGCGAGGCTGAGAGTGAGAGTGACGGGTCAAACACCCAGACTGAACTGAAGTTAAAACATTTCCAACCGGTTAAGCATACATAAAGTTATATTTTTCTGAAAATACATTCATTTCTCTTTTTAATATTTATTCTTTCAGGGTTTTTGGAACTTGTTGTGTCTTTTTAAATGTGTGTATTCATGTGAGGTGGGTTCTTTCCCCTTGCTTAGGATCTAGGGGTAGACTTCCCGTCCAGACCTTTAGGGTGTAATGTGAACACAAGGCTTCCAGTCTGTGGGAGAGCCACTGGGAAAAGCAGAAAAATAATAAATTATTTGAAATTAAACCCAAACTAGAACAGCGAAATCCTTCGGACCTCTCCAGAAGAGACGAAGTCATTTTTACTCGATTGCGCATCGGACACACGGCCCTGACCCACAAATACCTCCCACAGGGAGATGAGAAGCCGTTCTGTGTCGGATGCGACACAGATTTTACCATTAGACACATTTTAACAGAATGTCTAGACTTTGGAGAGATCCGAAGGAAATATTATAAATGCAAGAAATTGCAGGATATTTTTTCCGTCGTTGTTCCCAGCAGAATTTTAAATTTTATAAAGGCCATTGGCCTTTATGGCGAGTTGTAGAGCGAATTGATATTATTAAAAAATTTTATTGTTACTTAGAAGAGTTGTTTTAAACCACATATATATTTACACTGAATTTAAACATTTTAACTTTTTAGCATTTTAAGTCAATTAGATAACCAGTCGTGAAGTGAGCTTTTTGCAAAGGTGAACAACTTGTGTTTCGCGCGCTCAAATGACCTTAGCAGTTGTGAGCGCCGTAAAACCTTATACTATACGATACGAAGACAAGGCTATTATTGTGCCAGCAGACAAAATTAGGATTATTTATCCATATACTAAGATTCTGTAACTACCAATGGATTTGATTGTCAACTTTCTTTGCTCAATTTGAATTTAGGTTACCAAAATTGTCTGTGGAAAAAGCCTAGGTTTTTATTTTTAATTATTAAACAGGGAAAAAAGGTGAATATGAACTGATTTTTGAGCTTTTAAGATAGTTATGTAGTTTTTCTTTCTGCAACTTACATTTTTTTCAAAATGGCAGACTTGACATTTTCAGCAGATGAAGTAAATAAGTTTATTCAGTGTTTAAGGCCATTGGCCCATGTCACATCACACAAAACACTCATTTGATAAGTAATGTTTCCATAATGAATAAGTACAGGTTGTGCACATATCTCTTATCATGGGTCAAACATTGCATATTTCTGTCACTGGGCCGAGTCTGGCTGAGAGGGATTAACAATTTCCTTTGATGGACAAAGTGTGAACAATAGAAAATAAAGTGAAATTCATCTTCAATTTCATGAGAGTTACACCTCTCACATACGAGCGAATTAGTTAATTTTCACGATAGAGGTTGTTATTTAATGGAAGGCTATGTGTTTTTAACAAAGCTATGACTCTTCTGTTCCCATGCCGTGGAAGGTTGTTGATATATTCAGCTGTTTCTTAAAACGGAATTGTAAGAGAGAAAACATTATACTTGCAACAGACTTCTTCCAGGGGTTCTTGTGGCCTAGAGGTTAAGGTGTTGGCCTCTCATTCAAAGGTCCCGGGTTCGATTCCGGGTAGCGACCAAAAAATTTTCTTCTCTAAAATTGTCTCCTTTCTCACCCTTTCCTGATCTCTAACAATGTTCTGTTGTCTGCTTTCATTTCCACTTTCTGCCCCCACCCCCTCACCTCCTTTGCCCCCTCCTCTGGGCTCCTGACTCTTTCTGCAGCCTTTCTACTGCTACTCCTTGGCTCCTCCTAACTGCTGTCTTTCTGCCACACCCCTGATCTTCTGGTAGGAAAGATCTACACCTAGCCTTCTCGGACAAGGGCGAAAAATCTCGGAGGGCCCGTGTGCAAGTTGCGCACGTTAAAGATCCCTTGGTGGTCTAAAATCGATAAGAGTAGGCTTCGGCCGCCACCCGGGCAAAATTCAAAATTTCCTACCAACGAAAAAGTATTAGGTGTGTCCCGCGCGCTCATATGACCTTATGCAGTTGCGAGCGCCGTAAAACCCTGTACTAAACAAACAAAAACAAAGACTTCTTCCTCTATGTTCTGCCCAGAATGATCAACAAGTCTACTTTTTACTTCACTGAGAAAGAGTCTAGTACTTCCAACATTTTGAGAAAACCAAGCATATCCAAAACCCAGGGAAAATAATAGGTTTTTAACTTCAATAGCCCAGTTGACTCTGCCCAGTTCACAGGAACGATATACAAATGTAATTGCATGTAACATTTCTTTGGATATCTGTCATTTTCTAAGTGTATAAGTCTGCACCAGCATTTAATGTAATCAGAACATGAGTTGGTTCTTCTCACTTCTCTTAGAACTAAACATTTGGGTGGAGTTTTCAAAGCGAGATAGTTATCTAATGCTTCATTAGAGTTCAAAATATGAAATTCATGTAAAGCTTTGTATTTTTGCATAGTAGCATTCTTTACCAAACCACGGTGGTTGGGAGGTACACTTTTTGAACCTTCTAACACCTGTAGATTCCTTACAATCGGCTGCGCTTTTAAAACAATTATTCACATCACAACAGCATCGTTTGTTTCACCTACATGGATAAGATCAGAAAATTCATTTTAACACATAACAGGTTGTCCTCTAATGCATGTACATATAGTCTTCGACTTGTGCGTATTGTTCCAAAAACATTTCTGGATATCATATAATGGACACAAAACTTCTTGCTCTGGGTTGACATTCGATGCCGGGTGCTGTAAGCGTTAGACTAAGAGGAAAATGGCCAGACTCTGATCTAGGGATTATTTTTAAAGCTTAAATTACCATCCTGAAACCCATCCGTGCTTACAATGATGTAATCGACGACTGACTTGCCTTTGTTTGCAATGCAGGTGATGTTCCCTTCCTCGTCTCCATTTGTTCTGCCATTCAGTATTGGAAGTTTGTTAATTTTACAAAGCTCTACAAGTTGAAGCCCAAATGCATTTGTTTCTATATCCTGAAACTTACGACCCCTGACATCGAAATCCATATAATCTGAGATAAAATCGCAAGTGTCAAATCCATATATACAAAAGAAGCCCCGTTATCAGGCAAAACAAAGTCATCCATGACACCGGTCCTAGAATGTAGATCTCCAGTAATCAACCAGGGCAAGTTTCCATATTTTACATTGATCGTTTCCCACCATTCACTATATTATGCTATATGTACTGGTCAACGCCCTCCAATAATGTCTCATGATACACAGGTGAGTATTCATGGAGAATGTAAACAAAGCAAAACAATACATCCACAGTTGATCGTAGCACACTTTTGTCTACAAGGGGAAAAAATGCATTCTTTTTCTGAAGTTGTCAGACGTTGAAAAAAAGAAGCAAGTGCATTTCTAATCATTACAACAACTCCTCCACCAAGATAGTGTTGACAGTAAGAAAAGTACAGATGATAGTCAGGCAACTTTGAAAGAAGCAGTTCTTTGGAACAGGCATTAATTTCATTTTAAACGAAACTATAAATAGCATATTATACTGTGAACAGAATGAGATGAAATCGGGATCAAAAAGTTTGGGTTGCAAGCCACCGACATTCCACTAAAGTAGTTTAACATCGTTAGTTTTTTCACATAGGTTGTTATTGTAGCTATTTGGTTTTCCCGTACCTCTGTTTTCACTGTTGTTCTGAAGGGGCCGGCCGAAGTCCTATCTCGCCGCAGACCGACCTCCTTGAGTTCTCGTTGTTGTTGTTCCGTGTGCCTGCGCTGATCTCCTTGCGTTACCAATGTGTCGGTGGGTAGTGGCGGAGGAACCCGAGGGCGCCAGCTGAGTCTCTGGAACCACAACCAGTTTTCCATTCTTGCAGTATCCTCTCTGGCCTTTGTCTCTCAGTCTGCCCAATTCCTGGCGTTGCTTCAGAGTAAGGTCATTTGAGACGCCAACATCCATTCTACGAAAATCCTGTCTCGCCCTGAGAACCTCTAGTTTGTCCACGAACTGTGTGAAACGAACTATGACCGGCCTCGTGCTGCCCCTGCCGTGTGCACCCAACCGGTGTGCACGAATTATGTCTTTCTCCTTCCAGGTTTTGGAGGGCACTGCTTTGTTTAGGAGATCGGTTATCTTCCTTCTAATTTCTGTGTTGTCGCCATCCCTTTCCTCCATTATTCCGAGGAAAATAACATTTTCACGGATTTTCAGCAGATGAGATTGCAATAAAGATAAAGTTATAAACAATTCACAGATGCTGATTGATTATTCATTAATTCATAGATTCTCATTTTGTTGGTACAGTATACAATCTTTTTTAGCTCAAGACACTCTGAAAGGATGTTAGATAAGTTCAACGGGTTGAGG